ACATTGTTGGCAACATACCAGGGAAAATGTCCGGTCTGTTCTAAATAGTTTTGTGCAAATTTTGTCATTGGACACTAGTAGGACTTCAGACTTGTTCGAATGTTTATTTCCGGACGGGAAAGGGATGTGAACTGATGTCGCAATATTATCATTGACACAGTAAGCTGCTTATGATCCCTTCAAGGACGCCCAACAACAACATGTTAGCAAGTAGTTCCTAGCCATCTGCTACCATCTCAGCACCCACGAGGCAATTGCTAGAGGTAGAGCCCCCTTTTTGACAAGTTAAAGACATCACTTTGAACTGAAGGACCGGATACAGGAGTACATACAAAAACTACTGGACCCGATGCTGTACGGACAGGCAATACGCAGCATACACAGAGACTAACGGATACTATAATAGGCTGAACTCCTTTATATCAATATTCGCCACCGACGTACCCAACGTATGCCCTGCATGCTAAGGTTCCCGACTATAACCATCTGTTATGGGCAGGGATAAGTACTTGCCGCACTAACAACATCCATAATCATACCATACTATTACTTGTAGGTACTTACGTCAGTGAAGACTACCTTTGAATGTATTCACGAACGCAAAAGATCCATGAACTCAAAAAAATCTCAATCGACATTGGGTTTTGAAAGATTCATGGTGGTGTTCCGTAAAATTTGGATGTTGCGCAGACAAGCTCTGAGGCAGAACTAGAAGAATTTTGAAATTCAACTCCGCAACTGCATAGCACTTTTTGTTTTAAAACCCTGCTCGTCATAAAAAATGGACTTCGGTTTCTAGTATATCACCTTCTTGGAGACAAAGGAGGTCTAAGTAAAGTCTCATATGAGCGTTTAACTGTATAACTAGGTGCTTGGGGATATGAAAGGAACGAATTTGGAGAAATCCCTAGCCTGAACCCAACTTCTTCAACAGTTTGAAGTTTGATTATAGGGCGCGATGAAAAGAAAAAAGAATACGCAAAGGTTAATTTTCTTCAACGGAGAAATTGAATACGAATAAATTAAAAAAGCAGTGTAAATCTGTAATTGTCGTCCTGGTATAGACGATACGATATACGATATCCTTACTTTAATATTATAAATGCGAAAGTGAGTTTGTTACGCTTTCATGCTTTAACTACTCAATCAATAATCAGCAATTTTGCACACTGGTGTCATTTATCCCAACCCGATTAGACAAGGGGACCAGCCACCTCAAAAACAAATGGAATTTTTCATACTGCATATCTCTGGAAGTATTTGTGGTCGAGTACTTGAACTTAGTAAAGTGATAGTATGCACATATGTACATAAAATCCTCATGGCATAGGTACGGTGAGCTATCGTACCAATTTTGGCGGGACAGTACCGATTTTGATAAAATTTTCCCGCAGAATATTTTTTAAAAGTCGGCACGTTTAGGTGTTCCAATTTTTCATATTTGTACCGATTAGGTCCCGATTTTCAATATTTTCTTTATTAATTTAATAAGAGTATCACAAAGAACATAGAAAATAAGGGAGCCATAAAGAAAGGCAGCATATTTATATTCTATGGTGTTTGGTTATGTTTTATTCTGTCTTACTGGTACTCTTTGCAGTCTAGCATTCTTGTCTAATTTTTTAAGGTTTTTATAGTCTTTTGTGGAGTTTTTTTTATTGAAACGATTCAAAATTTAATTTAGTGAAATTATAAAACTGAATGCTAATTCAACGAAAAATTACACTGAAAATGACACAACGCCGAAACCGGTTTGTCTCTAAACCAAATTTGACAAGGAATGACGAAAAATCATTCCACATTACATCAGAATACTAATTCTCTCAAAAACTGCATGGATATGAAAATATAAGCTGTTAATACAGTGGCGAAAATATAAATAAGGCAGAGATATTTTAGCAACCCTTGGCTATTCCCCTTTCGATTGTATAATGTTTATTATTTGTTCATTAAAGTGTTCCTCTGTTATCTAACTAACAAAGCCCATGTCAGTCATAATTTCAAAATTTGTACAAAAATTAGCAAAATTCGACAAAGATTCATCAACATTTTGACCTTTTCAATTAGATTTCTTAGAAACATCCTGAGTAGGCACTTTTGTAACCCATTCAATTCAAAGTGCTAATTTTAAGTAGCTAGGACTTATCGTTGAAGGAGTTGCTCATTTTCTTCATATAAAAAATTTTCGAACTATGCTATATATAGTAGAAAATGCGCGAACAAAAAATTTGCAAAAAATTCTACAATAAAACTTGAACTTTTTTATATTAAAACTTAGTGAGCTACAAAACTGCATTCTCAAAACAATTCTAAAAAAAATCTGATTAAATTGTTTAAAATTTTGATCAACATTTGTTAAAACTCGTCGAATTTTTATAAATCTTCTACAAAATTTGAAATTTTGATTTACATATTTTCTTTAGATAGTAAGCTATATTTTCATAAAAAAATAATAACAATTTTTTTAAAAAAGAAAACTAGGCAAAACTTGGTAAAATGTCTTTTCCCTATTTATATTCCCGCCACAGTATAATCTGTGGGTATACATTTTTGCGATCAGTTTCAATTTTTTCTCTTTATTTTGTTTTAAATAAAGTTGTATTAAAAGATGTTATGTCCCTTTATTATAAAAATAAAATTGTTTCTTCGGATTCGATGCCTTAGAAATGTTCCGATTCCATTGGGCTACCACCTATTCAAAATATTAAATTCGACTTGAATTAAAGGAATTATTGATTTGAAATTTTGAGACAATATAGGTGTCAGGCGAAAGAGGCTTAAAAAGTTGTAGTTGGAAAATATTTCGAAATAAATACTTTTATATGCCCGATTCGCGCAGCATACGATATTTGGCAAAAATGTAAATAAAAAACTCTTCCCAGTAGCTTTTCAATAGTTATAGAGAAGGAAAAGGAAGGTTCTGCAATACTAAGCCGAAAAAAAACATTTTTTTTTATTAAAAAAATTAAATTTTTGGAAAAAATAAGTTGAAATTGGGATGATCCGCTTTTCAATAGTTCTAGTAAAGTTCTGCAAAACTTCGCAGAAAAAAAAATTCGAAAAACTTAAATTTTTGAAAAAATTAAAATTAAGACTGTTCTGAATAGCTTTTCAATAGTTCTAGAATTCCTGAAAAGTTTTAATTTTTTTAATTAAACTTTTTCAGTTTTTTTGAAAAAATACTTTTTTTTCGTTGTACTTTTTCAGAACTTTTTTTCGTTTTCAGGAACTCTAGGGGCTGGTTTCTCCAACTCAACTTAACTTAGTTAAGCCAAATTTCTTGACTTAGTCAAAAATAAGCTGTGTAAAACGTAGACTAACTTTTGACTTAAGTCCGAAAAGTGGCGTTAAGTTGAGTTGGAGAAACCAGCCCTAGGTGTTTAGAAAAGATACTCATAACAGTTTAAATTTTTATGTTTATTTTTTTTCAAAAAATTTCACTTTTTTATAAATTGCTTTTTTCGGTGTACTTTTGCAGAACTTGTTTCCCTTTTCAGGAACTCCAGAATTATTAAAAAGTTACCCAGAACAGCTCCAATTTTAATTTTTATTTAATTTTTTTTTAATTTAGCTTTTTTGAAAAAAAAAAAAAACATTTTACTCGGCGTAATTTTTTTGGAGAACATTTTTCCTTTTCAGGAACCTTAGAACTATTGAAAAGCTACTTGTAACAGTTTTATTTTATTTTTTCAAACATTAAACATTTTCGACTTTTTTGAAAAAATACTTTTTCGGTGTAATTTTGCAGAACTTTTTTCCTTTTCAGGAACTCTAGAACTATTGAAAAGCTAAGGACAGTCTTATTTTGTTTTTTTTTTAGAAAATAATTTTTGGTGTAATTTTACAGAACTTACATTTTCTTTCTCTCTCTCTGTTGAAAAGTTACTCAGAACAGTTTTAACCTTTATTTTACTCAAGCATTAATCTTTTCGACTTATTTGAAAATATTTGTTCGGCGTAATTTTGCAGAACTTTCTTTTTCTCTCTCAGAATAGTTTTAACCTTTATTTTACTCAAACATTGAACTTTTCGACTTTTTGAAAATATTTTTTTCAGCATAATTTTGCTGAACTTTCTTTTTATTTTCCAGGAACTTTAGAACTATTAAAAAGCTATTAGGAACACTTTTCATTTTTAACCGACTTCCAAAAAAAGAGGAGGTTATCAGTGCGTCGGAATATATATTTTTTGTTTGCGTATGTTAGCGCCTTTGGACCACGTCAACCGATTTTGATAATTCTTTTTGCATCGGAAAGGTACTATCTCAGAGGAGGTCGCATACTAATCCGGTTTAGATCCGATTGTTGGATCATGAGATATATATATATAATATATATATATTTTTTTTTATAAGAATTGAAATCGGTTGTTTTTTGCTAAAAATTGTTATTTTATTCAAACATTCAACTTTTTCGACTTTTTTGATTATTTTAGTGTACAGAGCAGCTTTTTTCGTCATACCATAAACCAACTTCCCAGACATGTATGTTGAATGCTTTCGAAATAAATTAAACCTATTGTAACAGGCAGAAAGTAACTACACTCAGCGAAGCGCGTGGAGGAAATCTAGTTATCTTATATGCTTGAATTTGGATAGTTACTTCATAGCTGCCAGTTTTCATAACCGAGCTGATTTGCCTTTAATTTCCAAAAACCGTGATTTCCAAAACATACAAATGTACATAAAACTTAGGTACTTATTAGAAGATAATTTGTAAACAATAATTTTCGACTCACCCTGCCATCACTTTTTCGGTAGCCGTCATGTATCCGCCACACTAGTTCGGGACCCGCACAAGCCACTTGCTTACCGATCTCAAAGTATTGGCTAATGGGATTAGCATCGGTGATGTTTTGTAATGATGTTGATGCCGTATTGGCACTCTTGAATTTGGAAAACATTGTACCGGCGGGCATACCGTCGATTAATTTCGAGAAAACGTTGGAAAAGCTACCCTGACGTTTAGGAACACCACCGCCACCGCTTCCTGCACCCCCGGTTACACCAGTACCAGCACCGCCTTGGCCAACACTAGCGGCACTGCCGCTACCGGCTATACCAACACCGCCACCTATACTTAAGAGCCCTGTACCAGAGAAATCATTCACAGCTGTTAGACTACCGTGCGTTGCTGCCGCTGCTGCTGTTACACCAGCGCCTGATGGTGAGCTAATCGAGAGTCGCGCTCGCGCCGTCGCCGTACCACCGCCTATCAATTGTGTGCCACCACTACTGCCGCCAATGCCACTACCAACACCTCCACCACCTGCTGCCGCCGCTGCTGCTGCTGCTGCTGCTACCGACGATGAATAGCCATTCACGCTCCCCCTACCTAACTGCTGACTAACCGCGGAGGATGCACCTGCTCCTGCACCACTGGGACTCAGCACTGTACGATGACCATCTAAGCCAACTGCTATGCTACCACTCCGTGAACCGCGCACACCAACACCGCCTCCGCCGCCGCTTCCGCTTCCGCCACCTGCTACTGGTAAACGCGTCCCCGCAGATGCATACAAACCACTCCCACTGCCGCCAATTCCAATACCAGCACCACCAGCACCCACTCCAGCTCCACTGCCGATCGCTATGCTACCACGAGCGCCTTGTGCACCCTGTGCTCCGACCGCTGACGCTATTCCAATTGCGCTTCCACTTCGGCTCTTACGCTGCTGCAGCTCCTCAATGCTATCGTAACGCGAGAAGACTCTGGCCGCCGTTGTTGCCGTTGTTATTGTTGTGGTTGTTGGGTTAGCGGTATTAAATGTCGATGTGCCGCTTGTTGTTGCTGGTACAGATACAGCTACAGTCGCGACACGACTTGGTAGTGGCGGCTGAGCTGGCTGCTTTTGCTGTTGCTGTTGTTGCTGCTGTTGCTGCTGCTGTTGTTGCTGCTGCTGCTGTTGCTTCTGCTGTAGTTGATGTTTTTGCCCAGCTAATTGCTCTAGCGCCTGCTGCGGCTGGGGCTTTGCCTGCGGCTGTAATTGCTGCTGTTGTTGTTTTTGTTGTTGTTGTAGCAATTGCGCTTGTGATTTTGCTTGCGGCTGCAGCGGCTGCTGCTGCTGCTCGTCACGTTGCGCCCCCCTATGTTGCTGCTGGTTGAGTATATGCTGCTTGAGCTGCTTCCAACGTTGCGCTATTTTGGCTAATTAAATTATACCCCAACACTGAATGAAATATCGTGATCATTAAGCAATGTGCGGGTGCTTGCGTGTGGGTGCGTGCGTGTGCGCCTACGTGCTGCTTAACTTATTAGTGTTCAAAATGTGTATATGTATGTATGTATGTATGGAAGCGTGTGTGTATGTGTGCCTAACTGTATGTATATATATATATATGGATATGTAGGCTGTGTAGTTGTGTATTAGTTTACCTGTATGCCAGCTAGTGGAAGTGTTGTTGTGTGCGTATAAAATTGAAAATTTTCGCAGCTATGTTGTTTTTGCTTTGTTTCACTGTATTTTGTGCGCCCGCAGCTGGGATTTCATTGCTGTTCATACGCTCGTATACAATTATACAACTGCACAGTTGTGGTTATTATTGTTGCTTGTTCTGGTTGCCGTCGGCATGCGTTCGCTTGGTCGTTCAATTAGTTACGGCCAATCAATTTAATAAACTCCAAACAACGGCAGCAATATTGAATTTGTCTCCCGGTTGGTATGGCTTGTCAGTTGTGGGCAATAAAACAAGCCAGGCCAGCCAGCCAATTCTTTGTGCTGTATGCGTGTATGAGTGTATGCGTGAGTGGGTGGGCCCAAAATGTGCGTCGATTTTTGTGCCTGCAGCTTGACAATGCAGTGTTGGATTTGTCGAAACTGTTGGGAATTACGGCAGTCAATCCACTAGCTAACTTGTCGGCTGCTGTCGTCAATCGGACACCAGTTGAAGAGTGCAAATCTTTGTTGATTTGCCTGGTAGCCGTTTCAGTAAGAAGCAATTATTGTGGCTGTAGTTGTGGTTAGTGGTTTTTACGAAAACTATTAATTTGTGCAATTTAACTGCCTTCCTTCCTTTTCTTGCGGTTTTCGCTTGCCTGCTTAAATGCCAATGAAATACAGGAGGAATTTCGTAGTTCAGTTGGCTGATGGCTCGAGCACGCCAACCCAAACTGAAAGTTGCGAAATCTCAAATATTTTAGTTCGTTATTTATCTGTTCAGCAGCTAATTGAATTTCCGGCGATTGTATGATGCGCATCGAAATAAGCCAGTATCAAAAATATTGAATTTCTGTATGCATTAGTGCTAAGCTTGATATCTATAGAACTAACAACAGAATGTGTTATCTGCCATTTGCTATTCAAATTACAGCATCTCAAGCATCCGTTTTCAGCTGTTATATTGCTGTTAATCAAATCTAAATGTTGACAATTACATCGACGCACGTCCACTGTTGTTAATTTCTAGTCCTTCCTCCTCATGCCAGGCGTATGTAGTACTGTGCTCGCTGCTTGCTTCGCGCGTAACTTGCTGGCTTCGTTTAAGTTGTTATTTCACACTTAATTATGATTGATATAAATTGATTTGCGACAGTTGTCGTTCTTCTCGGTGTCAGTCGTTTTTTGTACATTTATATATATATTTTTTTTTTTATTATTTACACAAAACAATGATTTTTATTTGCCATGGACAATTGATATCGCGGAACTGGAAAGAGCGTGAGAAAAAAAATTTAAATTAGTTGTATTCAAACAAAAAGAAGGGGAGACAAAGTGTAAGGTTTAATGCTTTCGGGTAATAAAACTGCATATATGTATGTATGTAAAACTTCTATATTTCCCAATATCAAATTATCGATATACATATGTATTAAAAAGGAAACAGATCCGATAAGAGATTGTACCCAAAAAGACAATTTTGCTCTTCAAAATTCAGAGCCGCTTTAACAAATTCTCATAGTAAAAAAATAGCACTTGCAAAAATGTAATTTTGTAAATCTAGGATAAAAGCTATGTAAACCCGCTGGTCTGTAGTAACAGCGGATAAAAGGACCAAGTAGATCGATTGGCATTAGTTGGCATTGCAAATTTTCCGCAATTGGTATAGAAGAGAAGCGACTAGCGTGCTTTATTGGATTCGTCCAAAAACGCTAAGCCAGTTACAGTATATAACGAGACTGCACTGCTTGATAGACTAAGAGCCCGTCGTCAAAATTCAATACGATCGACTTAGAGTAACGTTTTTTTTAACTGTTAGTATTCACTGTATCTATCCTCAATATCATTTACTGCCTAAGCTGGGTTTATACTAGCGCCTTACTAAATCCTGTGCAGCCCAAATTTTTTATAAATTACTTATAAGACTATTTTAAGACCTTTTATGAACATCCAGACCAAGCCAATGGGCCAAACGTCCCACTGTGATATTTGACTCCCATTTTGTGCCCATAATTCAAAAAATTAGTACCTACATTCACATGAATTCAGCTTAATATCAACTTCTACAAATTTACTTGAATTAACATCCTATATCTCAAAGGCATTTAGTGAGAGCAAAACTGTTGATGTTATATATACTGATTTCAGTAAAGCATTTGACAAAGTGTGCCACTCGTTGCTCATCTATAAACTTGGTCTTCTTGGTCTTCCACCTAATTTTCTACGTTGGATCTCTTCATACCTCTATGATAGATCACAAAGGGTATTGTTTAAAAATACTATCTCTGACGTCATTGATGTTACTTCAGGAGTCCCTCAGGGTAGCCACCTAGGCCCGATTCTGTTCTTGCTTTTTATAAACGATATTTCTACAGATATAAAATTCTCCAAAATTTTAATGTATGCAGATGATGTAAAACTTTATAAATCGTACGTTTCAATTGAAGAAAGGTCTTTGCTACAATCAGACTTAAACAGCATGGCTTACTGGGGTAAAGTAAATCTTATGCCTCTAAATCTTAAGAAATGTAAAGTAATGTGCTTCTCGCGAAGAGCTGTTCTGCCAGTTTCTTATATAATAGGTAACCATAACCTGGAACAGGTATACAATTTTGTGGACCTTGGTATCACAATGGATCCTAAGCTTAATTTTAATCTTCACATTAATGTGACAGTCAACAAGGCTAAAGGTGTACTTGCATTTGTGAAACGATGGCCAAAAGAATTTAGTGACCCTTATATCACTAAAACCCTGTTTACAACATTAGTTAGGCCGATTCTGGAATACGGCTCGGTGGTTTGGAATCCAAGGTATCAAATTTACTCAGACAAGATAGAATCAATTCAAAAACAATTCCTACTTTTTGCTTTAAGAAATTTCCGATGGGATTCTCAATATAGTCTTCCACCTTATACAAGTCGCTTAAAACTTATTAACCTTCCTACACTTGCCAGTCGCAGGGAAATGCTTGGTATAATTTTTATGGTTAAATTACTGACAGGCTCAATTTCAAGTCCGTCTCTTCTGGCTGATGTAAGCTTTAATGTTCCGTCACGCGTATCAAGACACTTTTGTCCCATATTTCTGAAAGCCTGTAAAACCAATTTTGAATTGCACGACCCACTCCGTTGCTTATGCCAGGATTTTAACTCTCACTCCAGCACGTTTGATATATCAGATCCGCTTTTCAGCATTAAGAAAGCGATACTCTCCTCTCTCAATAAGTGAATTATTGACATAAATACATAAAATCAGCTGATGAATTTAGTTCTGTAGCTGAACAGTTTTAGATCTCGACACTTAACAAACTCCTGCCTATCGTGACTCGGCACAAAAATTTAAAATATTGGTTCCGTACGTCATGCGGACTGCGCCCCTCGTGCGGATGGGCGGGAATGGAGGGTAAAAACCGTTGGGATATTATTATTATTAATAGAGGTTTTTGAGATCGCTGAATTCGAATCTGAAGTCACAATAAAAAAAATAAAAAAATAAAAATGGCCCACCCAATATGTCGCCTAAAACCTTAAACACATATTGGCCGGTAGTCATAGAGAAGCTAGAAAGAGGTTTTAACGATTAAAATTGTGTTTTATTGTAATAACCATTTTAACTCTTTCATAGTCAACTTAAAATGCATTTTATAGCAAAAACCAGAATTCTAACTTTAAATTGAGGAGAACGCAGGTTTAAAATGGTAAAATAAGGTTCTAAGTTTTGTTTTGTTGTTGAAGCAGTAAACGCATTAGCACCCTGGTTTGGTCCCCACTCCGAGCGATTCCAAACAATTTTATTTGTGTTATATTTTTATTTTAAATTTAAACATAAATATTATTTTATTAAATTTTGTTTTATTATCTTTTTTCGTTTGTGGTATTTCATATAATTATTTGGTTATTAATCAAATTTTTTGGAGTTTAATTTTAATTAAATAACAAAAATTTAAATAACATTTAAAAGAACAAAAAAAATGTAAAAAAATGTTCCCTGGCAGTGGGATTCCAACCCACGACTTCCCGGCTTGCTAAATCCGCAATCCTACAGCGGGCACAGGGTGAACTCATATTTCTATATATAGCAGGGTAAATTTTTTCTCTTCATATGGATAGCACTGTTCTCTCTCATCCTAACAAAAAGCTGTTTCTAAGATGTCTATGACTGACACAACTTAAAAATCTATTCTAAACTTAAAACTGTGCTTTAACAAGAATTAGTGTTAACTAACTGAAATTAAAATAACTAAAAACAAAATGGCTAATCCAATATTCACGTTTTTTTTTAAGTTTGTATTAAAATTTTTTTAATAAAATTGCTATTGAATTATAATATGATCATTTATACGTGTATCTAACACTAAATTGGTTGCAAATCATCTTCAGAAAAACTTTTAATATTATATGATACAAAATCGTGTCTTAAAAAAAGGTCGTACAAGATCGGATTCAATATATTGAGTATTATAGTTTAAAATATAATTATCTTGAAATAACCAAAAAAAATTTATTAGTGAAACCTGGAGAAAATTACTTTTGACATTTTCTTTAAATTGTTAAAGAATTCACTTGAATATTTAATTAAATACTAATCAGTTGGGTTTCAGTACACGAATTGGGGTCCAAATATCACTGTGCGTTCTCTCAGACACAATAAAAGCGAATTTTTTGTATAAATTTAAGCAGGAAATGATGGTACTCATGCGCCAGGTATGCACACGTTTTATATCTATCGTCTATAGGAAAACAATAAATACAGATTACGCGATTATTTTTTGGTGCTATTAATTACTTATTATATTTTCCACTCTTTGTCTTCACTGTCATCATCATTAAAGCTTTGTATTTCATCATCGAGGCGATCTTCTATTTCAATACTGAACTCATCATCGGCTTCATCTAATTTGTCTGGTATTACATCTGGCTCAGATATTGTAATATTGTCAGGTATAGGAACAGTTGTTGCTTTTGAAGGCTGTGAAAATGGATGATACTTAGATACGTGGCGTATTACCAACATAATTTCCTCTTTAAATTTCGTACATAAAGTTCAATTTTATTTTGTCAAAAACTTATTAAATTGAAGTAAAACTCGGATTATTTTTGTTGGAAGGATTAAGTCCACTTTTAATTCGAAAATACTTTTGACGAGGGTTGCCTTCTGTTTAAAAATGGAAAATCAATTTAGTATAAAATTTAATTTCAAATATTTTGTTTTTTATTGGTCGTCACCCGCGAAACGATTGGGTAAGCTTTGTTTCTAAAATATATTTGAAGAAGATTTCCACCTACTCAAACAGTTTAAATCAATTTATAGTTTAGTTTGTAGTTTAATTGAAACCTTTTAAGATACATACATACATACGTAAGTGACAATCGAAAAGTGTTTAAGAGGGCTTTACTACTTTATTAAATTTTTCTAAGAGGTTTGCCACCTGCTTAGCAATTCGGCATCAATTTAATTAAAAAGTTCAACGAAATAGTTTGAGATTGGTCTTAACGATAGAGGCTTAAAAGGCTTTATTTCGAAAATTCTTTTCAAGGGTTACCACCTGTTTAGTAATTGGTAAATGATATTTATTTCAAAAACGATTTTGAAGAGGGTTGCCACATGTTTAGGAATTAAATTTTTTAATATGGGTGACACTCGCGAGATGTTTAAGTTAGCTTTTTTTCTAAAATATTTTTCAAAAGAGTTGCCGCATGGTCAAAGAGTTGATATCAATTTAATTCCTTTTTTAATTTAAAAATTATACATATATATACATACATATAGTCGGGAAGCCCATGATGCTAAATCGGGATTTACTCGAGCGTCATTTTGACCTATTGGATATTGAAGTTGATATGATGAGAAGAAAAAAAGGTCATGTGATGTTTTTCCATCCAGCGTTGGGTAGAGGATCTACAGGCTTCCAAAAATGTCAAAAAAAACAGCTACATGGTTTTTCTCGACCGCGTCAGATATTGATTCTTGAAGATGCAAAAAAATCGCTATTTGGATTTACTCGAGCGCGTCAGATTTTCATACAGAAGGTTCATCTCGATGCCCTTGTCATTCTGTTCCATAATCTGACGCTTATCTGGAGGTGTTTTCTTAATCTGACGGTGAAAAAAATCATTTCGTTTCTGAGATGCACGGTCAACCAAAACATATATTATCGTAAACACTTATTATTTTATCCGTGCAACTATTATCATGTAGCAAGTCTGGTTCGACTTGGTCGTCAATTTCTTCTATGTTTTCTAACCGATTTGAGAAATCAAATTCGAGTCAATACACTTTTGAGATTCGGAGCGTATTGAAATTTGGTCTATGCATCCGCTTTGAATCATAGCGAACTGGGTCAAAGCGCTTTATGTGTCGGTATAAACAATTAGTTAGTAAAATTTCAAAGGTTGTATTTCATGTAACACCACGAGTGATTTGATCGCCCATGATTGCGTGATACTATACTAAGTTACTATATAAAGAGTGAGCAAGAAGGGAGCGGAGTTTAACATTTTTCAAATAAACTTAAGGTTGCCGAATTCAAATTTATCTGAAAAATGCGTGTTTTTCTTACATACAAATTGCTATGCCTGGTGATTTTAGCTAAGAAATGAGTAAAATTCACATACATAAGTTAAAAAAGTATTTTTTAATTGATATGTGGTACTAATTTTTCTTGATATAATTTTAATCTAATACTCCTTCGATTTACGTTATTTCAAACCTAATTCAATCTATTATGAAACTGGGATTAAAGTAATCGTAATCGAAGACACATATAATTTCATCGCCCAGCTCAAATTTAGATAAAGGTTTTGATTCGCATATGCACATACTTACATACATATGTACATATACAGCGGAGCAACACACGAGTCTTTAGTGGATTAATTCTCAAATTTCACTCGCAACTGGTATCATCTGCTGGGTATACTTACAGTTATATGATTGTGACAAATAATATGAACGGAAAACAGCAAACAAAGAAATCTTTGTTGACGATTTTCATTACTCTGGCATGGGGAAATCGTCAGATTATTGAAATGCACACTTTTCGGCACGTAATTAACCCGAAATTTCTTAATCTGACGCGCTCGAGTAAATCCACCTATCAATTTTTTACTTTTCTGATCAGCCCTCCTGTGCGCGCGGCTCTACGTTTGTAAATGGCTTAGATTTGGCAGAGGTACTCAACAGAATGCAGGGTATCCCCCATATGCTAACCTGACGCGCTCGAGTAATTCTCCGAATCCCCTCTTGGGCGTCTCTACTAATACAGATATACATAAGTTCCAATCGATAACAGCAAGAGCCCAATTTGCCAAACGACGTCGCAATGACGTCGTTTCCGATTCGTTCTGGTGAACAATTTGTTCGCCGGCGATAGTCGCAAACGACTCACAACCTCAGAACGGCAAATAAGGACTAGATATTGGTCCTACCGACTGGTAGTTCACACCTCTATGCACTCCGCTACGGCGGATATACTAAAAAAATTATATGAAATAGACTACTGAAGCTAAGACGTCAAAACATGCCATCCTGCCATCTCCGCTACGGATTTGGCATTACCCTTTGGATGCAATTCTGATTGGCGTTATACTTTTTTGTGAGACTAGCTTAGAGCAGGGGTTCCCAAAATTTTTTCACCTCGGCACCCTTGTTGTGCTAAAAAAATTTCGCGGAACCCCTACTCTTCAAATGTCTACGAAAACAGGAAAACACAATGCAAACTTTATGCTCCTTTTGCTTTAATGTGAGGACTGAAATTGTTTTGATGTTTTCATTATTTCCTTTAAGTTTACTGGGAGCTTTGACAATTTTACCCTGAAATCATTTGACGCTGAAAGCTTGCTGATGTATTTGTTTTGACGTAGAATACGTCTTACCTTACGATATGGAGGCTATGCTGAAATGTTGTAGTTGTAATTTTTAGAGCTTCACGAAAACGCTTATTGCACAAGAACCAATGAAGCGATTTCAAAGAAAAGTACGCCGTTACAAAGACAAAACTCCAAACCTAGCGACAGATATACTTATGTAAGTAATTAATTTGGTATCTGTCGTAAAAACAACGGTGAACATTGGCTTATGTTGGGGTCAATTTTGAGCTTTTAAAGTGCTCTAGCAACTTATGGTTGGCAGATATAACTTTAATTTTTGGGATATAGATTCCCTGGAGCAGTAGAAATTTTATCGTGTACAAATTTTATATAAATTCAACAAATATTGAGCAATTTAAGGCAAAAAATTGTTGAACAAATTTGCAAATTTTTTTTATTACCAAAATGCTCGAAAACAGCTCGAATGATTTTGTTTTTGTTTTCTTTAATCAAAAACTCAAGAGTTTTCCTTTTGTTTGGTATATGGGAAGTATTGGTTGATATCTTCTATATATGTTTATTTTATTCAAATATATGGGCACAAATGATTTTCCATACAATATCACTTCGTCATCGTTTTGCAAACACGTACATGCGTTGGGAAGGAGACAAAAAGTATGTATGTGTGCGTAAGTACATATTTCGGCTTTTGATAAACAAATGGAGCAATATTTATAACCTAATACACCAAAGGTAAAAATAAAAACAAAAACAAAGTTGCGCAAAGATAAATGCAAAAATGAAGACCAAGATTAATTGAAACACTTTACTTATATAAGGGCAAAGGTGCAGGGGAATATGTATATAAAGAATATGATAAACATAAAAATAACAAGTAAGGAAGTCTAAGTTCGGGCGGAGCCGAACATTAAATACCCGCCGCAAGTATTAAATATATGTTTTTTCACCTTTCCAAAACTTACCGCTAGACGGTCAGCCGAGTAAATTAGCGTCCTTCAATTTCGAAATATTGCAGTTTCAAGCATTTCTGAAATTTACCGTTATATGAAAAGCGGCCGTAATTCTAGTCCGATTTCAATAATTTTCAACGTTTTGCTTATATGTGGCAAGCACAATAACCACATCGAGTTTGGTACAACTTGGTAGAACGGTTACTGATTTACATATATGTGATCATAAGTGGGCGGTGCCACGCCCATTTTCCAAAATTTTACCATAAACGTATTTTTAGGAAAAGAATTGTTGCAAGCTTCAATTTTGAATAAATTAGCTTTAATATTTACTGATTTATCGAAGATTTTGTATTTTTCTAAATTATCGTTATATGGGATGTGGGCGTAGTTATCGTCCGATTTTAAAAATTTTGTATGCTGTACCAAGGTCAACAACTGTGCCAAGTTTGGAAGAAATTGGTGCAGAGGTTACCATGATATACACATGTAACCATAAGTGGGCGTGGCTACGCCCATTTTCTAAAAATTTATAATATTCTTATTTCTCGTCTAAAAATTATTGTAAATATTAATTTTGAGTGAATTATCTTCAGTAGTTACTAAAATATCGCAGTTTTCGTATTTCTGAAAATTACCGTTATATGGGATGTGGGCGTGGTTACAGTCTGATTTCGCCCATTTGCAACACCAACCTACCTTGGATTGAGGGAAACCTACATACCAAATTTCGTTGAGATAACTCAATTTTTGCTCGAGTTATCGTGTACACGGACAGACGGACAGACGGACAGACGGACGGACAGACAGACATGGCTTAATCGATTTCTTTTTCCATCCTGATCATTTATGTATACATTTGTCTATATCTATCTCGATTCGTTTTGGCTGTTACAAACAACCGTTATGTGAACAAAATTAATATACCCTTGTGCACAAGTGCGCTCGGGTATAAAAAGAAAGATAAATATAAAGAAAAAGATGGGGATGAGTGTACCGATAAAAGTATAGATGAAGATAGAGAAAGAAAGATTAACATAAAGGTAGTTGTAGAGAAAAGGTTATAGATAGAGGCACAGAGACTCAATCGATATTTTGTCGGTTTTGTGATCGATATTTTTATCGATATTGTTATCGAAATTTTTAACGATATTGTCATTGATTTTGCTATCGATATTTTCGGAACTTTTCGATATAATGATCGATATTTTTATCGATTTTGTTATCGATATTT